TATATTTAAATATATAGTCTTTTTCATATTAATTCATCTAAAAGGTTTTCACAGGCAAGACATCAGTTTTTGTTTTCGTTGTCTTGGGTGTACAGTAATAGCTCCTCGTTGTCATCATAAACCCCTCTGTTTGTCACGGGCCGTGGTGGTGCGTACATTGGGAGGGACGGGTGAAGTTTCCTTTGGCCCCTTCCCTTCATTCAGGATGAGGCCTCTCCCCCCTGCTGGAAGCCCCTCCCTCAGATGCTATGTGGAGTCCTGATTGACAGCTTTCCCTCCATTCATGGTGGGAGTCCCTGAGCTCTTCCTGGAGCGGTGCTTGTCCTCTATCTCATGCAGTGATGGCTCCCTGTACATACAAACTGTGGAAAAGATGGAAAGCCAAGGAAAGGGATGGAAACAAGAGGAGCGGAGAGGAGAGGAGAATGGGGACAGTAGAGAGTAGATTGAAGAGATGGATGTGCAGACAGAGACAAGGTCAGGTGTGAGGCTGGGACAATTATACCAGGCTGAGAGGGAGAAGACAGGGGAATTAGGCCATGTCTGCACTTTTTTATCACATTGCTTGACAAGTTATTACAACAATATCTATGTGATATTTTAACAAAGCTCCCACAAAAGATATGTAAACTACTGGGGCACTGAAAGTGAATCACTTGCCAAGTCCAAAGTCCTGCTTCACACTTGTGAGAAACTGTGCCTGAATGTGCAACAAAATTTTAAGGATTCCCCCTTTGCCCGTACACTGCTCTACTAAGCTTCATCGAAAATGAGATAGTCAATCTTGCTGACAAATAACAAAGCAAGAGCAAAATAAATGCTCAAAATGATAAATCCCTTTAGAAGCCAGGTTTGGAGAATGGGAATACAATGCAAATGATTTCATTTTGCTCCCTCATAAAGCTTGAAGAATACCAAGGATTGTTTGAGCTAAAACAGCGGATGTCAATATATTTTACCTTTAGGTGTGTCAAAAGGATTTGCTAAGTTTAAAAAAAGAACATTGATTTTTTCATTTCCCATGATGCACCTATACTATGTTTCATTAGTTTCTCCCTCCTCCTTAATGCCAACGTATTAACAAACCGAACAGTTCCAGCTGGTAATGAAGGTCCTCCAAAGCCAGATAAGACATTATCTGGTTTCAAAGGCTAATTAGAGCTGCTTTAACCACCAGTGTTGCACGATAATACTAGTGTACGTGATGGGAAGTGCATGCATTACAAAAAAAAATGAAATCAAAAAGAAATAACATTAAAGCTGTACCAAAAATGTGCTTCTACAAGTTTTATGATACCTTCAATTGGCCTGGGAACAAAGTGCGATGAGGGCTTAGTCTTCTTGACCCGGTTGCCCTTCATTACTTGTCCCTCCTTGGTGAGACCAAGGAACCAGGCCCGACCTGACTCCTGCTGTCGGTACACAGTGGACGAGTAGATCACATAGTAGTTCTCAAAAACTGACTCCTTGAACTTACACTCTGGGGTGAACACCTCCTGCAAAAAGATTGAGTGCAGGAAGGTAAAAATGTTATAGATATTTGTCAATGCAAACAGAAAATACATTTTCACCCACATGAAAGCTGAAAGCAGCAAAATAAAAAAAGAACTCATGACCAGTATGTGAAAGTTGCCAAGGTCGGTAAACATCCAGTAACACACACACACACACACACACACACACACACACACAGGAGACTAATGAGAACGATAGTCTTATTAGAATAATGTGACAATGGAAGATTTCTATCTCTTGGTTTCATTATCAAAGTAAGTCAAGGAGAGAGGCAAGGGGACTCACAGTAATGACTGGAAAACTGGAAAGAACCAGATACTGGATACACTGCCATGCCTGCGTGCGATGCCAGATTATTGCCATGACAGTGCAAGACAGGAAACAATGCTCTTGACTCTGTAACCCATTCCAGATGTACAGTAAAGATGCACAGTCATTTGTCACCTTTGGCAATCGTGTTAGAAAGGCTGGAAAATGCACAAATTTGCTTTTTCTGCACAAAATCTTTACTTATCACCACACATGTGCTGATTAATGTGTGCTGACAAGGAGGCTGCCAACCCCTCAGTCCTTGTCCCTGTTCACAACAATGTCCTCTTCGAGACTAAATTAAAATCTAATGCCAGTCAATTTGAAGGGCAGGGAAGTCGTGTGTGTGCCAAAAAAAAAAATGCAGGCAGAACAGCTGGTTTGGTAGATGTTGGGCCATCTCAGATCTCAGCTAAGCCAGACTTTGTACTATGGGTGTGTTTTTGTGTCACTGCTATATTTCATTTATTAATGTCTCCTGCAAGGTTCTGTGCCCTTTTAAGGTTGTCTGTTTGAGTGACAGCCCAATTCTGCTCCCTGCTGGAGGTGACAGTGTGTGTGTAGTCCAGGTATTACTCATGTAGAGGGGACCTAAATCTGTGTATACCATCACGTTATAGGGACGTGTCTTCCTTGTGGGGACAAAAAGAAAGTCCCCATAACATAAATCAATGCATTTTATGGTTAGTGACATGCTTTAAGGTTAGGATAAGGGTAAGGCTTTGACAAACAGCAGTTATACTTATACTCTACGTCTTCGGGAGATTAATGCATGTGTAAATGTCCTTTATGAAGTAATTGATACAAATCAGGAATAATTTAAAGCTGTTTCTGACCACATGTTTAATGTAAGTTTTATAGCTGCTTTACTTTTTAGTTCTGTTTTGCTTTACCAGCTCCCGAGGAAAGCATCTGGCATCTTTACTGTGCAGTCCAAACTGTGTTTATCAGCTAGTTGTTAACGTCATCTGGGTATCTTTTCAGCAGGTGGTATGGATTTAAAGAGTGCTAAAAATCTGTGTAGAGCTTTGTTGGTTAGTCGTTTTAAGCAGCACCTGTATATTACACACAGTCATTTGGCTGATTCTTCATGCAAAAAATAAATAAATAAATAAATAAAATCTGTAGCTTTAAATTAGTTTATGTCATATTCAGTACAGTTTAAAGAGTGTGTGTGTGTGTGGTCTCTTTTTGGATGGCACGCCACAGTTGAGAGTAATGAGTCCCAGTGTGTATGACCTCAGTGCATTGCAGGCTGAGTAAGGGACTGAGGGAAAGTGGAGGTCACATGGTCGACAGTGTGGAAACGTCTCACTGGTCAGCAGGAGAGAGGACAAGCTCTGGCGGCAGAGTGTATCTGAATGCCTGCTGAAACGCTGTCAAACGGCAAAGATCTGGCTCGCTGTCAGGGCACTGGGGTCACGTTGTGCCTGTCTGGCTCTGTGTGTGTTTATGTGTGAATGTATGTGTTTGAGTGGGTGGGGGGCAGACAGTGATACATTACACAGCAGAAGGCTTCATCGCTACTTCATCTGTTTGGTGCTCAAATTAGGCCAAGAGCACACACACACACCCACATACATACGCACCCAAGTACTAACCTACCATTCACCATTAGCCACTTGCTTTGCTGACACACTATAAAATTCCCTCCACATTCTCCACGGCAACAATGCCCTGTGCTGTCCATGAAAAGCTGGAGCGGTTTAGAAAGCACCCTGGATGCAGTTTGGGAATGACTGGGGTGAAATGTAAGTGACTTTGAAGTCTCTAACAGAGAACCTTGTTCACGGATGACTGAGTAGAAATGCGAGGTGAAGAGATGGGGTCAGACTCTATTGTGATTAATGAGATTTTATTAATGGACATAAACCACAGAACCGCAGGGACAAAGAAAAAGCACAAAAATACACATCAACACACATTCTCAATGCCCCAAATATATGGACAACAAGTTTGCTCTGTCACTTCCTCTGCCAGGAGCTCATAATTAATTGAAGTTGTTACTGCACTGAAACAAGTTTTTAAAAAAGAGCTAACAGGCTCTGCAAGCTGATATTAAAGTAATTGAAAGGATGCTTATTTATATTCCATAGCAATCTCATGGACAAAACCAGAAGACTTGTTAGCAAAACTGGACATGTGCTTACACTGCACCTTTAGGGGTCTCAGTTTGGACCTACGGATTGATAAAAAAAAAAAGCTTCACCTGAGACACTGTGAATAAACACAGCAAAACTGCTAACTGAATGCAAATATTTTGGCTGTTTCTGCATATTTTCACAACATTTTTTTTTCTTTTTTTAATATAAAAGCTTATCATCTGTTTTGACAGAAACAAACATCAAACAGATTTTTGAAAGGACAATAACGCACCAATACCCTTTTGAGTTTGCAATTCCTGCTTTGCACAAGGTATAAATGTAGCACTACAGCATTGAATTACCACTCATTTCGTTATATTTTGCTTCCAAGGAGCCAGACTTCCTAGCAACTTTTTTAAAGCAGTCTTGAACAATGAATGTCATGTCCTTAAGAAATTGGGGAAAAATCCATGAAAGACCTAACACAGGAATTGAGATGCATCTGGCCTGTCAGTTGATCCATCTACTGTTTGTCAAAGTCTCATCAGAGGTGGTCTCGATGGAAAGGTGGCTGTCAAGAAGCTTCTCACAAAAAACAGTAACAAAAGGCTAAGGTATACCAAATCGGCATCAATATGCATGGAGAAGGTCAAAAGAGAAGTACACCAGTGAGTGTCTACAGCCAATCTGTGATCTGTGGTTTTGGGTGGTGCTTGTTAAAATTGGTGGAATTATAAACACAGAAAAGAACTGTCAAATTTTGACCGACAATGCAACACCATCTGAAAAGAATCTGATTGGAAACTGCTTTAGTTTTAAACAATGATTCCAAACACACTGCCAATACAGTAAAAATGAATAGAAGGAGGCCCGGAAGCTGGACTTCAACATTCCTGAAGCAATGTGGGATCACCTTGACAGAGAATTGAGCAAAAGACAGCCAACAACCTTTGAAAAATTTTTAAATGTGCGCTTGTGTGTTACCTCAAAATAACTAAAATGTGACCTTCTTATAGAAAATCATAGAAAAATAAAGAAATAAAAACCCCTCTATCGCTGAAGTCTTCAAAAACTCCACAGAGAACTTTAAAGACCAATGCTGCTATTTTCACATCATCCTTGATTTTTTGGACATGATAGTGTTACTCACATCATGTTTATCTAGATTTCGGGTTATCTTAACTTTAATACCAGCTGCAAAACCAGCAAAACAACCTCATACCCATCACCACCTCTGGTGGTTCTGCACCTCTGTCCAGATAAGTGTGAGGTAACGTGTGTGTTTGGGGCTTATGAAAGGTGTGAGTGCCAATGTATGGAATGTAAAATGAAACTCGAAGAATGAGAACAAGATGTAATGGATTGCCAAACTGGGTTGCCAAAAGAACTGAGCTGAATGCATTCTGAATCTAAATCAGCTGCTGGCTCCATCACAAGAGGGAGGCAACTCTCTGGCTCTGCTTTGAGGAGCAGCTGCCGACAGACATCTTTTGAATTTGGATAAAGATGTGGAGGATACGGCAAGGACCTCAATTTAAACATGGGCTTGAGACACTGGTGCATCTGAGAGATCTGGGCCCTGTGACAATCCCAGTGCTGCCATGGAACTCCCGGGGAGCTTATTATTATTCTTGGAGAGATTTAGGTCTGGGATCGTCTAGACGTTACTTAAACTGAAAACTCTCTTTCTCACTTTTTTCTAATTTTCCCTCCCTCCATGCTTATCTTTTTTTCCTCTGTCTGACTCTGGAGTCAGTCACTTTGAAGCAAGGTGTTATTTTTTGCCTTTTCTCAATTTTCTCCACAGATGATGTGTTTGATTGTCTGCAATTAAATCACACCTACTTTTTTTACCTTTGGGGGGAAGGGGGGGGGGGGGCTGTACATGGCATAGATTCAACACCATGAGCAGCTACATTATTTGCACACACAGAAGCACCAGTTTAGCTCATAAAGTAATCAAGTAGAATGACAAACTACCAAACCTTCGTCAATTTTCTATTGAGCCATTTATCTAAAAACAAAGCAGTGTGCGATTTACAATTTTTTTGCAACATAAATTAACATATTTAGATAGATAGATACTGTAGACGGTAGCAGTGGTTACTGTTGTGCAGCAAAGTAGGTCATATTGAGTGTTATAAATAATGGAAGGGAACTCTTCATTGTAGATGTTCAGCCCCCACGCACTTTATTACTAAACACTCCACATAAGCACCATCACCCAGCTCACCCTCAGCTACATCAGCTTCCAATCCTCAGCAGCAAGCTCTGCAAGCAAGAAAAACCAGGCAGCATATATGTAACGACTTAACTGATCAGCAGTGATAGTACTAAAAAAAATGATACCTGACACCCAGATAAAAGACTGACAGAAAAGGTCCTCAAGGGTGCAGTGCAATTTCTCAGAAGCATCTCAAACAACAACAGAAGAAAGGGTTGTCGCGTTCTCTCACTAACAAGACAGCGCAAAGAAGCAGGAAGGAAAAAAGTAAAAGGGAGGCAATGTTAGAGAAGTAGGAGGATATCCCTCAGTAATTATCTCCCAAGGGGGGGGGGGCACGGGAGAGAGCTATGTATCTCTGCTCTCAGATGTAAGGAAGGCAAAACAAGACGACAAAACAAGCAGTGACAAACTTTATAGTTGGTGGAGTCAAAATAGTAAAATGGAAGGCTCATCTTAGAGAGGACAGGAGGACGGGAGCAAGAGTGAATAAGCGAGGATGGCTGGGAAAAACAATGAAGACCCAGACAAATAATAATAAAAGTAAATGTGACTAAGAATGAGGAATGAATGAAGGACTTACTTTATGGCCGTGGTTGCACCAAGAAAGCTCTCATAAATGCATGAATAAAGAACAGAAATGCTCCCCATAATGCCATTCCTGCAACGCTTTATTATTTATCCGCATACATAACCTGTACTGGTAAACAACAGAGGCTATATTTGCTTTTACGTAGTTTGCATGTTAATTTAATCTTTTTATGAGCCCCTCCAAGGCTTATAGGCTTATAGGCATTGGTAAGGAAATAACCAATGCTACTCGTCCATGCTTCACATCTGAGGAACCGGACCCCTTCCACATGGCTAGAAAATTCATTTAGGTTGTGGCTTTGATTAAAACGGTCCTTCAACTGCTACAGCAGAAACATCCTAACCTCTAATTAAAAATTACTCTAGCTGTTTTAGAAGGCACAAAGAGTTGATCCTGCATCCGAAAAAAATGTGGATAAAATGATGATAAGTAAAGACAAATGTTTGTTACACCAAAAGCTGCCTCTTGACACTGAAGTACTAAATGGTTTGTAATTAATAATAATAAAGTACTCTGACACAAATGATGATTTTATAAAGAGCGGGTTTGTGTGGGGGTCATTCAGCATCCCCAACTTGAGTCAATTTGATAAATTAAAAGATTGCTGTCTGGGCAGGATTAAACTTTAATTAGACATAGATAGGTGGGAGGAGAATTATTATAAGCTTCACAGTAGGACTGAAAGATGTGCACTTGTTTATGAGCCTTTGGTTATGAATGAATCTGTCTACTGGGTGAGTCATAAAACCATGCGCATTTACTGTATGTCCTTCTCTGAACTTGTGAGTGCCTCATACATCTGTCTAGGCACTGAGTTGTGTTCAAGTTGTACTGAGTAAAAACTGCTTGTCATTCTGAAATAACGATGGTAAATTGAGCTAATTTTTCAGTTATTCAAGAGCACATTTAAAAAAAACAAACAACCAAAAAAAAGACATCGCGTCCACCATTCATCTTCTCAACTCAAACTTTTCCCCTTGTCACCCTAACAGTAAAGCGGCGCCCTTATCAATAAATGTAAGCTGCAAGTTAGCAGACACAGGCTTCACTGTGTCCTTCAAGTATTTTATGAGTATTTTAAGAGAGAAAAAGTTTGATGGGCAGTCTGTGAATTCCAGCTCTCGCCAGTCATTTATCATGGCTGTCTGGCAATCACACAGCAATCACCAAGTCCCTCAGCAGAGGTTTGGGAGTGATGCAGCCCTCCCATCAGCTTCTTTCTTCAGTAGCACTATCCTCTGCTAAGACTAGAGGTTATATAACCATCCCAACTGGGATATGTATTGCAGTTCTTTCTCGCTGTCTTACAAACACGCTCCCTCTGCAGCTCATTTTCCTAAGACATGCATGTCTTGATCTTCAATGCAGCAGCCACATCTTTTGGCTGGAGACCCCCCAACTCCCGGTGCATATATTCTACACATTTACGTTTGTAACGTTTACCCCAGAGTCTTTCTGTTAATATGTTAAGATTACGCTACACTTTTTTTCTCATACAAAACAAACTGAGAGCACTTCACTGAGCACTGAACTTAATATCAAATTAAATGCAAAGCATGTGAGGTGCAACAAAGGATGGGGAGGGGTTGGGAGAGATAAGTACTGCACAGCAACACAAAGGCACATCTGAAGAGCTCTTAAATTTAGCAGAGATGAAAGGGATTGGCAGGGCTGAGTCTTTGCAGCAATGGGATATTAAAACAGACAACAAACAGAACAAAACACAACACGTGTTAATGAAGAAATACGCATGCTGGCACCGCTCAAACATGCGCGACATGGCGGCGTGACTGGAGCGAGGAGTCGCGTCTTACCGAGCTGTAGAGCATGCCCTCGCCATTCATGGCAATGTAAAAGCCACTCTTCACCCCCTGGATGGCCACCACTCTCAGACCCACGGGAATAAGATTAAACAGGGCTGCAGAGCAGACAGAGTGGAGGAGAAACAGTTACAAAGAGGCAGAGACGAAAGAGAGACATCAGACACAAAGGACAGAATAGGACAATTGAGTTTTCACTTAACTCTTGTAGACACAACACCCTCTGATCTCTGTTCTTTGGCTGTCTGTCAGCGGTAAAGTGAACAGTGCAGGACATAGACAAAGGGAACTCAGATGCATCTGATGCACAGTGACGCATAACAGCAGGAATCCAAAACTTTTTTAATGACATCTAGCTGAGGTAACTGCACAAAGAATCACAAAGCATCCTGTGATTCTTTGTACATCTAGTTGAATTCAAGTCTCCTGGATGGCTTAGATTTTGCCAAATGAAAGCAACTATGTACTATTTATGCACACATATGTGACTCTGTTTGCAGCAGCTCCAATATGAGAAACTGTAACTGGCACTGCCAGTCAGAAAGGAATTGATAAGCTGACATACCGGTAGAAATGAGGCTTACTATGAGTGCAGCTAGTATGTCCAGGCACAAATGTTCAGGTTTTAAGTCATCAGCGTTCATTTTGATCATATTCCACTGCAATCTGAAAACCTGCTTCTGACTCAGTGATTACTGAACGCTGATCCGTACCTGAAAGTATGCAGCATAAGCTTCAAAGCAGTGAGACGAGCGTCAATAAAACAGCGTAGACATAGATCTGTGATAGCAAACAACCGAAATTGTGTTTTGATTTAAGACCCCATCAATCACTAAACTGCTGCAGGCAAATGCTACTGAATCTCCTGAGCGGACTGAACCATCAAGGGCGTTGGTTTGGTGAGGGCGTGCTTTGCGTACTGTGAACTCCCCGTGATGTTGGAGTGATTGTTCTGCAAGTGTCAATGGGGACTACCAGAAAAGGCTGGCAGGGGGAAAAAAAGGCATCGGGCCAACACAGGTCTGTCCTCTGAACAGATTCTATTTCACTCAATAAATATCAACGTGCTGCCAATGGTTTAAACCTGACCTCGGGGCCAGTGGTGCGCGTGATACCTGCCGGCCGCTATGCAGGGACATATACCCTTGAGGCCAGACAGAATGGGTACTTCAGCCCCTTCAGTTTGATTTTCTAAGACTTCTCAGCTATTTTTCCATCTGTTCCCTGCTTCTTATTCTGTCATTTCTTTACCTCCTCTGTATGCTCCCTCACTCCTCTTTCCATTAGCCTTTCATGGCTGCTGCGTTTGTCTCGTCGATGTCTGGCAGTGTCTGTCAGAGGCACCATCAACAGTTCGGCCTTGCTTGAATAGTGGGAGGAAAAGAGACATAAAATATGGCCCACTACTACACTATTATGTTATAATTACGATCCACAATCCCTGCTCTCATTTGCCTGCCAAAAAATTTGAGAGCTGACAGAAGCTGTCATTCAGTTATCATCTAAATGCCAGCACCAGCATTTGATTGATTCCATAACTACCTGATGACTATTCTCACGCTGATTCCTCCTCCTTAATCACCTCAATCCTATCTCTCACTGAAAAAAGAGAGGCCGGGCTGGCGCTGGAAGAGTTAAGCGATTCTCCAGGGATCTGTTATCGTCAAAGGGCCAGACAAAATAGGTTCAAACAACTCAATAAAGGAAAATCCTCAAAATGCCAAGTCTTCCAGAAGAGCAGTAATCGACTACAAAAAATCCTGCAGCGGCTAGACTCAGGCAAGTGAATTTCATGTGAGGAATACTAGCACAGCAGGAAATAAACCCTGCAGGAAAAGTTTCAGAAAGAAACTTAGCCAAATTTCAAATGCCAAGGGCATATCTCCAAATCCAGAGAGAAATCCAGGTATACACTGTCACATTTGCAATTATATAGAGCTTTTTTTTTTCTCCACACTCCAGCTGGAAACTGAAAGCACTTGAAATTAGCGTATGGGTCTTCAGGTAATAAGGAAGTCTATCCTTATTCCATCCATCAAACCCGGAGCATCAGAGATAGATGAAGCGTGACTGCCTGAAACCGCAGGTGTCTCATAACCAGCAGTATCTTTCTAGGGCTTCAGAGTGTGCAGATAATTACTGCAGGCGATCAACTGATGACAATCAAATTAATAACTGTTCAAATTTGAACATGGATGGTAATTAATGGAACGGTGTTCCTAAGCCCTCGCTGTTAGTTAAGCGTACAGCTTCCAGCCAGTCATGCTTACCACTAAAGCAATTTTCCATACTTGTAACTGTATATTGAGCCTGAAGGCAGCAACTTTGTGACTCAGTCGAGCACTTTGCACAATTTGCTAAACCCATAATAAAATCGAGCTATTTAAAAATGAGAGAGGCATGATTAAAGAAGAAATTCCATTATTTTCTCATTTTTCATCATCATTTTCCTCCTTTTTGTCACTAAAACTGTTTCCTGTTCAGCGGCCGGTGTCCTTGTTTCACCGCTTACCGTTCCGCACTGAAATGAAGCAATTGATAAAAATGAAAATGGAAACCAAGTGCACTCTGGGTACAGGTCACTGCTATTATTCAGGCGCCATCATGCTCCTCACTACCATCGGTTCCACTGAAGCACCCCCTGAAAATAAATTGCTGTATTCTATCAGCTAAAGCTGTGGATGAGGCGGGTCAGAGGATGTCGTAGTTGAAGGGTGGAGGATAATCTATTATTCTAATAATCCAGCTAAGAGATCAATGGCTCAGTGCAAGACCTGAATACAAAATCTCCTTTCTCTTTTTCCGACAGCGATTATTCTTCCCCTTTCTCTTCCTCTTACTGTCTCCATCTTCTCCTCTATTCTACACTTTGAATTCCTCTAGTGGCACCTACTGCTCGCCTCTTCCCTCTGTGTGTCTTACTTTAGACAGTCTGTATGCTTGAGGCATCTAATATAGAGAATTATTCATTGGGTACAAACGGAGAAGGTGGTATTTTTAGTTTGCTGTGGCTGAATTATTCACTGCATTCTTCCATCCCTGGGCCAGGGGGACTGCTTAACTAGAGGATTACCTAAAGGTGGGGAAATCCTCACATGCAGCTAAACCCTCAACCAGCTTAAACCTTTTAGACACAATGGAAACCTTCAAAAGAAACAACAAAAAAACCCAGCTGTTTGCTCAAGCTAAACACATGAAATGCATTATATGTGAATGTTTCTCACTTTCCTTCCCATCCCCCTTATGCAGTAATCCGTTTTGTCCTGAAGACCCTCACTTTATGCCCTAAGTGGTTCTCATTAAAGATCTATCTCCTCTTAAAATATACAGCAACAACAATGGAGGAGTGAAGCATTCATTTCAGCACATAACTGCCCTGGTCCAGCAGCTGTGGCTGCGGTTTTCTGTAAGTAAGGCAGGAGAAGAAGAAGAAAAGTCATGGTTGGTTTCCTGTATTGGCCTCACTCCAGACTGGGAGTGTCATCATTATAGCTTTGACAGTTGTTCCCCCCTGACATATGTGCTGTCTATTCCTTGATCCTTTATAGGAAACTCTTAACAAAAAGCTACAAGTTTTAATATAAGAGACTCTCTACAGACACGGCTGATTTTGCACTCCTTTCTGTTCTTGTGGAGGTGGATGGGGTATACCCCAGAGACTATTTATTCACTGGTAGTTCACTATGGAAAGTCGATTGCAGTGAAATATTGCAGGGGAGGTTCTTGTGGCATGGAGTGAAGCTATGGGCCTACAACCACTTCTAGCAATGGCTTTTTCCAGGAAGGAAATTTTGATGTGATGGTCACACGTGCTTTGGAGCCGTATCAATCAAAACAACGTGACACTTTCAATCATGAAGTGTACACAGTAGAAATGGTTTACCTAGTAGGGACCTGGTGGGGATACCAGAATTGTTTTTACTATAACAAATTAATTATAGTTACCAGATAAATATGATATTTAGAGACTACGTCATTTTTGAGAAAACAGGCTTGGAGTACATAAAACATTTGAGCAGATTTTGGCACATTTATGTGCATATTATTACATAATCATATGCAGAAAAGAGAGCATTTGGCTCTGGGGTATTTCTTGCCTTTAAAATCTGTTTTTCAATCAAGATAATCCAATTTAGCGAGGGTGTCATAAATTAATTTTAGAGTGCTTTAGGTCACCCAAATAGCACGAGTTATATAAGAATTAAAAATGCTAAAGCGTATAAAGGCAGCAATCTATTATATAACCGACTCGTGGCCATTAAATGTTTTACGCTGGAAGCTGTGGCTTCCAAAATGCTCCACTCACTGTTGTCGCTGTTCTCGTCCTTGCTGCCGTCGATGGTTCCATCCGGCTGCATCTGCAGGTAGAAGCCCTGCTGGCTGAACAGTCGTGTCACGATGCCTTTCAGCTGTGGCTCTGGAACGTGCACACACACGTAACACGCACGCACACACACACACACACACACACACACCCGTCGGCCCCAGCCCCCGTCCCCACCAAGAATATGTCAGAACAACAGTCTCATAATGGTGAGAAAAAAGCACAATTTAGCTGATACCTCCGCTTTCAGCTAACACTCAGAAAAAAAATCATCCAAAAGAAGTGTTTCACGATCATAAAATGTAGTGCATGATTAATTAAAAGCTGGCTGTGGAGGATGGAGCGTATCAGCAGAACAATTATAGACTTACTCTACTTAAAAACATTTACAGTTCATTTCTTTTGTCGTATTTAAAGTCTCTAAAAGGTTAACGATGGTTCACTGTTCACTTTATGACTTGTGTATCTATTCAATTGTGATAAGCCATTTTAAAGGAACTCTTATTATTCCTGTGGCACAATCCAGCTTCCACAATTGCCCACAAAAAGCACTACACATTTAACAATTTCAATAATATATATATTGCATCACTAATATCAATAACACTATAAAGGACAATTTGCTGTGAATCAAATTGATGCAGCACATGAGCCCATAAAAGGTTAAGTAGCTGTTTGACAGGAAAACCTTTACAAGGACAACACGTTAACAGAAAACCAATAATAAGTAAACCACAGTGGTTTACCTTTCAACAGCCTTTTAAAATCACATTTAATGCACACTGACATGCCAGTACTTTCTTTGGTATGAAGCAACCATGCATTTTAGAAATAATATGACTGACATTTTTTATGAAATCAATCTTTTGAACAGGCATGTTTCTATGCTGCGCTCCAAATGATTTCCTTATTATTTATTTCCTGAAAGGAAACAGAAAGGAAGTTCTGGAGGAGGTTTCGTTTTATTTAATTTTTTTTGTTTCCCAGTAAGATAACCCTGTTTCGACCTCCAACTTTGGAGGGTATGACTTCTGGCGCGTGGCCAAAGTGCTGCTCAAAATGCTCCTCTCTTCAGGTGGAGCAGGTGGAAGCGAGGATTAGCTGAGGGCAAAAAAAAGCCTCTCAGCTTCAGGCAATGCTGAGTAAAAGCTGATGTGTGGAAAGCAGTTTTTATCTGAGAAAAAAAAACATGCTTCTCTTGTTTGATTTTGTGCAAAAGCAGGAAGTCCAAGTCAGATGACATCATTATATCCTGATGATTAAGAATAAAATAAAACTATTTTTAAAGCAGGTAAAATAAAAGATATGATCATGCAATGAGTATATATACAGTCATGGTTTTCTTGAGGCTCATCGTGAGTAATACTACTCTACAGCGGCACAGTAATGCGCTGTTTTGTGTAAAGTCTGGGAAAAACAAATAGATACTAAAGATGACTAATCCTCAGTTCAGTCTGTCTCACAAAAGGAACAAATTATGCGTTTTGTCACAATTTAATTGGCACTTAGTTTCTCCTTGTGCACCTAAATAAACATTCATTTAATGAATCCTTGCTTTGCAGGCACAAACATTCTGATAAATAGTGTATGTGACTGGAATAAAGAAGCTTGACTGTTCACCAAGGTCATACAAATTCTTGGAGGACGTGCAATTCATTTTAGTCCAACCAGGCCCAAAAAGTCCCAAATGAATTGGCAGAAGAAACGTTTTTTCAAGCTTGCTATCAGGACAGAAGGATGGTTTTTGATCAGACTTCAAAAAGCACTGACAGATGTTAAGGTACTTACTTGAAAGCTGATCACTGCAATAATTACTGTTGCATAAACTCTAGTTATGTTTATTTTTCAGAAGACAAAATGTAGAGGAGAGGGCTCGAAGAAGGACTCCCCAGCGAGTGTGAGTTCCTCTGTACATCATCCTAACTGTCACTTCCCCATCTCACCTACCTGTGGGTTAGCGGCATCAATTCCTGGGACAGGCCCTTCATCATCCATCATGGGAGGGTAATGTAGAGAATGTAGCATATGCTTGTGTGTGTGTGTGTGTGTGTGTGTGTAAGCACATGGGAGTGGCCACATCAGTAAATCACATGTGATAAAGACACTTCCATGAATTAAGGCCTCAGCACAGGCCTGAGCAACTGCCAACGCCTCATCGCTTCAATCATCAATCATTTACAGAATCAGCGTGTGTGTGTGTGTGTGTGTGTGTGTGTGTGTGTGTGTGTGTGTGTGTGTGTGTGTGTGTGTGTGTGTGTGTGTGGGCATGAACAGACTTCCAAATAAACTCCAGTGTTTCCAACGTGTGTTTGTGCGTCTTTTAGCTGCAACAAGCTTAAGGCCACCCTGTGAGTGCACGGGCCACTAGAACATCAACAGATTTACTTCATACCAATACAGAAGGACAAAAACATTTAGGTACGTTGACAAATGGCGTCATGACCATGAAATGGTGAATGATCACCTGCTCTATAACGCTTCACAGGGAGGAACACATCATATCCATATACACCAATATACACTACAAGAAAAAAAAAACCTCTAGAACATTTACACAGTAGTACAGACACAAGACGGGGAGCGAGGATAGAGACTGATCCGACACTGACTGACAAAGAGAATGGGGCAGAAACGAAATGAGAAGAGGCAGGGAGAGGAGACAGAGGAGCAACAGACGGCTGGCTATAGGAGAGTTTTAGCTAGAAACAGGTCAGAAATGAAGCTTTAAAAGTCCAAGAAAGCCACACAGGAAGGAGAGATGAAGGGGGGGAGAAGAAGAAAGTCAGCAAGGGAGAGGGTCGCCGGCTGTCAGACAGGTGTTGAAGCCCCATGTCCCTCCCACCCTCCCTCCCTCTCTGTCCCTCCCCACCCCTCCCTGGCCGAGGGGGAAGTCGACATGGGCGCGAGATGGGGTGGAGACGAAAAGAAACACAGCACACACGGATGGAGGCTGAGCTACTGACCTAGCCTGCAGCCCTTATGGGACACCTGTGGAGGTTTCGAGGGTGCATCTTACGAGGTGGGGGGGTGGGGGTGGGGGAATAGAAGGAAAAACAACAGGCTTTTAAACAGGCAGAATTCATAAATTCTCCAGTGTATCGGTTGTTTATAAGCAAATATATGGCAACACATCAGTGGAAATATATGGATAATCAATTAGAGGACATACAGCATCCGTCTGCCTCCCTGTCTGTCTGTCTGCTTTGTGACTGGCCATGTGGAAGGAGTTACCTACCTGCCCGTTAGTGTTTGGAGGACTGACTGCTTTGGCTGAATGGTTATATTTTTAATCAAGTAATTTGCTGCAGTTTTGACACTGAGGTTGGATTGTCTGTGGAAGCTGCAAGACTACAGGGTTTTAAAGCTGGCTGTCTGGCTGGCTGGGTGACTGTCTCCATTTTTCTCCCTTTCTGCCTTAAATATTGATGCCTGACTGCCCGTCTGTCTCACTCCTCATCTGTCTGTTGGGACACTGAATGGATCTTACTGTCGCTCATCACAAACCAGAACTATCTGGATAGTGAGGAGGGGGAGGTGACTTGCACTCTTGGCTTGTTATCTGTGCACCAGGACAGAAACATTTCGAATTGTTTAAAAAAAAGAGAGAGATAGAGAGAAGGTTACGTGAATTTACGTGAATTGTAGTAGTACCTGAGTCTTTGTATATCAATACAGCCAGGGCAGCTCTTAATCACTAAAGCTATACCTCCCTTCACTGCAGTAAAGCTCCCTCTCTGCAATAAGCAATAAACATTTACCATTAAAACATTTAATCTGAAAAGAGCCTTGGTGCACTGCAGTGCAACTTATCTCCGCTCCTTACCCCCAACCTGCATTAATATTGAATTTGGGCCATTTTAAAGCAGGTTTCTTCTTTTTCTTCCATATAGCTATTCAAGTTGCAATTGTGTAATTGTGTAATTGGGGGGTCGGGCTGGGGATTATTATGTGTGGGGGGAAATAAAAAAATCAGAGGCTTAGATTTATTGTAATGCTTTTGAGTCAAATCCCGCTCGAGCTTTGGCTGGGGAAGAATTTTTTGCTCAGGGGTTAATTTATTATTCTGATCAGAGCACTATCACGATGCATAAACCGGTAACGTCACGGCATGTAGATCATCCACCGTGCATTCTGGCCGGTACCGCTCGGTATGTGGGGGAGGGTTGCGGTGGGATAGACAGACAACAAGAAGACCTCATGGAACAGGTGGATTCTTTTTTCTTTCTTTTTCGCACCGCGGAGAAAATCTACCTTCTCCTCCGGTTCAGATTGAAGCCCTTGACTGCAGTATAATGCCTCTGCTGCTTCAAAGAGGGGCGGGGTGGCGCGTGGTGGTGGTGGTGGGGGGAGGTTGGGGGAAACCGCTTCCATACACAGACGTAACACACATCAGTTTAAAGAAAAAAGCAACAAGAACAAAAAAAAATCTACGGCACTGACCTGGTCGCCGCCGAACGGGTCTTTTCTTGCCGCTGCAGAAACGGACTTTGCTGAAGACCCCCAAGAAATGCCTCTCGCAGAGAGAGCGGGGGTCTTTGCTGGGGCTGGGGCGACGTTTCGAAGTCGAGACCCGGTCGCTGTTGGATTCCCTCGCCTGGCGTTTCTGCCGGATCAGGGAGCTGGCGATCGCGGCCATCTCCCCGAACCGAGTCTGAAAACGGAAAGTCTACTTCGGCAGATGTCGGATCTCACTGTAGGTAATTGGCGTGTGGCGGAAATAAAAATAAGAACGTTGATTCTGTCCTTAGGTCCACGAGTTTGTTGGGTTGTTTTTTTTTTTTAACTAAATGTCATACTGATCACGAAAATCCTTCGAGTCCAGGGTATCATTGCGCTTCGGGCAGCATCCTCTTGTGGGGACAGTAGAGTATATTTAGATATATATCTATAAATATGATCAGCTGCTGCCAGTTTTGCTTCGACACTCGGGCTTTTCAATCAACAGCAACCGACCTTATATAAAATATCTAAGGGTTAGGCCACAAGGACCCAGATATCAGACATGAAAACATGCAACAGTGTTTCTAAGTTGATGCTGCTGCGTGCCATAGGCGAGAGCGCTTCAGGTATTCCAGGTGAACAGCGCCGCGGCTGACGAGCACGACATCGTTTTCCTCATCCGCACACCAGCCTACCCTCTGGGTTCCTGACGCCTTTCGATAAGCATTAAACCCAAACCCAGGGGCACTGCTCGTGCGTGGAGAAGACTACTAACTTTTTCTTTCCGTAATGATCTTTTTACTCCATGCTCAAAGAGAAGTCCGCAGCCGGTCCAGGATGCGGTGTAGGAGCCCGTGTATGTGAACCAGTCTCCGGTTCCGTCGATGGCACCGCTTAAATGCAGTCGGGGAAAAAATGGAATCGGCGAGCAGAGGCTACTCTGCAAGGATGCTGCAGAGATGTAATTTAAGCCTGCAGGCAGTGATTCCCGTCTGAAAAGCAACAATTAGTTGAGGCGAACACACGCCGGAGTGCTTTTCATTGTAGCGCACAAATAATAAAGTGACCTAAGCATTATTTCCAGCGAGTCCCGAATGAATACTGTGTGTGTATGTGCGAGTGAATGGTGGCGGTCCACAGCTTCTCTCTCTCTCTCCCTGCCTCCCTCTCTCCCTCCCTCTCTCTCGATCTCCCTCTCTGTCTCTCTCACCCCTTGTCTCCCTCTCCAACTCTTTTAACGCAATCATACGTGATTGAGGTTAGTATTAGTAATTCCCAGGAGTTGCACGGGACAAATGAATGATCCCAATCTCGAAAATTTGCGAATATTGGAATTTGTATTGCAAAATGTAAACTTAAAAGGGGGGAGGGGCTGGGTGTTTTTTCTTCTTCTTCCCTTTGAGAAATGGATGCGCGTGCACGTGCGTCCTTTTGGATTATGTGCGCGTTCAAACTGGGGCGACTCATCTCACAACTGTCTCTTTTAATTACACTTCAAATCCGAAGTTGCAAAGCAGTTTGAAAATGCGAGAAGGCTGCATGAAACTGCAAACTGCATACAAAGTTGATTCTTAATCAGCTTTGGCTTATACTACAAGGCATTCTTGCCCTCACAGCTTATAGGCCTATCAAAGAGATAGGAGCACACATTTTATTTTGTAAAGAAAACAGTGGCCACGCAAAGAGCATGTTAAGTCTGGCTTAAAGGATCAACCGCAACAGGGTCCAACACGCAGAGTATGAGCGGGAAACACACACATTCAGGCAAAACTCAAGATCCACACAGTGACACAACAGATGGATTCATGTGATGGAAGTGAAAGTACAGCCCCAATGAACACAAATGACAACAATCAACAAATAACACTGTGACACTAAAGCTTTGAACTGCCTTCAAACACATCTTGGCCCCTCAGTTCGTGTGAAAGCATCGTGAGAGCACCCTGTAGGCCTATTCTGTGTTTCCATCTGACTAGGAACAATTGCAAACCAATTGATTGCTTCTCTGCGGCTGTCTTCAGCACAATTAAGAGGACGAGGATCACTGTAGCAGTAAAGGTAAATCAATGTAAAACGCACCAGCCAGAATAACCTGCAGGCATGATGGACATCATGTTTATGTGCCTCTGGTTTCATTCCTTTTGTTGCATGGCTAAGGAGAACACAACACAGCACAGCACAGATGCATTCTGTGTTAGGAAAAACACACGTGTCTTTAGCAGCATCCCCGTGATGAAAGGGCATGAAACATTTAGAGGCTTTTTCTAGGACTTGGTTTGACATTCTCTCACCAAACTGAATCTGTAGAGACAGCAAGACAAGGAAAGAGGAGAGACCGAGCGAAAGACGGAGAGAGATTTTCTTTTGCCGGCTATTGTCTGTCCCTTTTATGTAAGATTTGGATAAAATGGATGAAGGAATGTGAATGTGAAGTGCTGATACCCGTGTCAGTCATTTGCATTTTTCTAAAGTATCTGCGAGAGAGAGAGAGAGAGAGAGAGAAAAGACTGATAGAGAGAGAAAGGGAGATGGAGGGCAGATAAAATCTTACATACTAAGATAGGCAAGGAAAGAAAGTTAGGAACCGAGGCTTGGATTCAATCAGATTCTAAATCAAAAACCTTTTGTATTCCTATTGAGTTGCCAGTGAGTGATAGATATTAATTTGACACTGCAGTATAAAAAAAAAAATAATAGTCTCAATACAACATTCATCACTTTGGATGTGATATACTGCGCGCTTCTAAGAAAGAAAAAACAGAGCTTGTGGTTCCGAGTACAAAGTGAGTTTTCTCAGAAATGGGGGGGAGCTCGTGCGCACCACAGACATGGACATACGTCTTTGTCGGGGAAAGATAAAGTATTCCCTAATGAGGATCTGTTTGGCTTCCTCCTTCTACCAGAGACAATTAATGTTCCCTTCACTCCAGAAACGATACATCCAAAATCAGTGAAACACTGCTGTTATGAAACACACTGCAGATAGTACAGAGTAATAATTTAAATTGACATTTCAAGTGATTTTGACTCTGAAGATTGGCTGTCATGGTTACAGAGACTGTGTGAGTTTGTTATTATTGTCAAATGTTCTTCTTTTTTTTCTTGGTTAAATAATATGAACATTAAGGGCAAAAATGGAAGCAAGTATGCTGAGGATGCATTTGGAGCATTTATCTTTTAAAAAGATGTTTTATGTGAGACTTTCTCATTAAATGTACAAATTTAACTGTGATGAATCAATTCAGTGAACAGAAATAAACCACAGCCAGAGTCTCTGTGGCCTTGCCAGAGGTGCAGCTTGTTCAGAGAAACATTTTTGTTGTATATCTGCTGCCCCCTTGTGGAGAATAAATGAACCACAACCACTTTGGAGAGAAACTACTTTCACTGTTTCCTATCTCTGAAGTTTGTCACTTCTCTGTGTCCTTGAGATACCTCACAGATCTGTTGACTCACAATAGCTAGAACTGGTTGTCATAGCGTAATGTCTGCTAAACGCTCATGCCAGCTCCTCGAGAAGCGCAGAGTAGAAACATGAGAGAATATGAGACATTCTGTGACTCAAAATGTTGCTTAAAAACTTCTACTACATAAACAACATGAATCAACATGAAAAGGAGATAAAAGCCCGAGTCGTACGGCTGAACAAAACAATCAGATTCTAATTTTAATCACATCTAGTGCAGCAAAATATGAGACAAAGTCTAGATTCCTGCATCTCGCTCCGATAAATCGAGTCATGTCTGTATGTGTGATGTGCGTTTGTCCGCGTGTGTGTGTGTGTTCACATTTCTAGTCAAATCATCATGCAGTTGACTGCAAACATGGTGTGTATATTGCTGGGGAGGAAAGGAAATGCAGCACTAAGTTTAAGAGGGTTTCCTGTTTCTAAGCTGTTGGTCAGCAGAGCCTGTTGCACATGGAGCTAGGCATTACAGTAAGATGATGGTGTTAAGCTAACACACAGAGTCAGGCAACCACTCACATTCACGCATATGTCCAATTTAGAACCTCCAGTTCATCAACAAGCATGTATTTGGACTGTTTAGGAGGCGAGAGAGAATCCACAAAGGCACATCGTGGCTCAAGAGTTGGGAGTTCGCCTTGTAATCGGAAGGTTGCCGGTTCGAGCCCCAGCTTGGACAGTCTCGGTCATTGTGTCCTTGGGCAAGACACTTCACCCGTTGCCTACTGGTGGTGGTCAGAGGGCCCGGTGGTGCCAGTGTCCGGCAGCCTCACCTCTGTCAGTGTGCTTTGGGGTCCTTAGGGACTAGTAAAGCGCTATATAAATACAGGCCATTTACATGGGCAACCATGCAAAGTCAACACAAAAAAACACAGCAGTGGATTCAAACCTAGAATGTTTTTCATTGTATTTATTTAGTGTTTTTGATTGATTTGCAATTTTGTTGTGCAACACTGTGCCGAAGATTAAAATTCATCTTGAATCTTTTAATAAACTTTCCACTGACCGTGACGTCTGCCTTGGAAACTAATACACGAAGGAATCTCTGTATGTGTGTGTGTGTCAGCTCTTTATCCAATCGTGTTCTTGTACGTCCTCTACCATTACTGCTGCATTCAGGAGGTCACAATCCTCTGTGACCTTAGCAGTTCAAGTTCAAATTATATATATACATCGGCATTTGCTATGAGTGTTAAACCTAATGTTACAAAACATTATATACTGACATTAGAAAAAGAACTTTAACCTAAACCTGATGTTATATTCATCAGTTACTGAAAACTGACCAAGTGGCAAATATAAAGTGCTGCTGGGTCTGTTAGCCTTGCTAGTATGACACCCACCACACAGTATCCTGTACCTGCCACACATTAACCACAATACTGGGGCTCTAGGTGCTCCTGACATCTAGCGTCCTTCTACTGTGCCGTGGAACGCTTACTGATATATTTTACCCACTGCTCCTATTTCAATATATCGGCTGCTGCGACATTATTATGGGACATTATAAACCGTTCATATTTAATGCAGTAGTTTGCAGTAGTTTACAACACCCGAGTGTGTTTGTTTTGTTCACACCATAGCCCTAAGCAGCACACTTCCAAGACTGGAGACAAAGAGGGAAAACTTTAACACCACAAAAGCCAGGTGCAAATCTGATACTACAAAGGAAAGCAGGTGCAAACATTTAAGCCTGCTCACACACACATAGTTCACCAGAAGTCCCTACGGGGTGAATTTTGCGCCTAAAAAATGAAGCATATAACACTTCACTTCCTGCTCCTTGTTGCTTCCATGATCTTGTACTGTTCAGACTGTAGGAGAGAATGATGCAATGAGATTGCCATGCAAAATGCAGACTTTGGCAACTTTGTATAGAAAGTTAAATCAATTAAATGGCTTTGTTTCACTTTCTATGGACAATGTTTTTGAGTTATTCTGAAGTTATCAGAGAGAAAAATGGGGAAAAAATGCTGCCAGCATGGCAGCATCACTCAAAACTCATACTTCCCTTATATTTTAGCTGTAATTGGAAATGAAACTGTCTGAGCCATACCACCATAATAATATAAATACAGAAAATCAAACATTAACCTTCAAAATGATTGAAAAAGTCCAAGGTTTAAACAAACTATTTATCTGAAGCAATTTGATCTTATAACGATCCTTAACTCAATCCACACAGTCATGCTTCGCAGCACATGGGTGTCATTTCAACACCCATGTGCTGACTCATAAAGTTTTGATTGAGGTCAAAGGGTTCATCTAACAGTGAGCACAGATGCAGAATAAGGACTGATAGTGCTTCATATCCGAGTCCTACAGATCCCAGGGTGCATGCTGCTTTTGGTCCAACTACCTCAGAGGAATCAACTGTGCTTAATGGAGTTTCTAATTGTCTGCCCTGAATTTCCAAACTGCTCCAGCTGAGAGCCTACGTACTGCAAGTGACAAGAGAAGGTGTTGCATTTGTTTCCCAGGAACAAAAAAAAACTTCTGGTTTGCACTGGCAATACTGGGGAATTCTCCACGCCTATGGAGACAGTAGAACTGTGTTATGAATGAACAACAGCAGCATTGCAGTGAATTGCCTGAGACATGACTAGAGGACATGGCAGGGATCTTAGGCTTGTTGCCAAAGACTGATAAGTGGTGGCTGTGTGTGGGCTTGTGTGTGTG